TGCTACCGGACATTGTGTCATGATGTGTGGAAGCCTGTGCTTTTTCTAGCTCTGAAGCGGCACATACACACCCTAAATGTGGTTCTTCTCATGGATCTGCTCTGTTATGGGAGAGGAACATTCACTTCAAGGTATGGTCTGTTCTGTAACTGGACAACTTGACTTAAACCACAGAGGGGACCACCACAAATCAACCCCAGACCTTACCTGTTAGGTAGGATGCCACGTTTCATTGCCTCTAGTCAATGGGGAAGAAGGCAGTGCTGCAGAAGCTGCTGTCAGAACTACAGAATGGCATCCCTTTCTAGAGCACCATACATTTTATTTTGGTTGGCAAATGGTGGGAAACCTGTGTACTGTCGACTTAAGTGAAAGCCATTCTAAAGACAACAGGATGTCTGTACATCTAGTGCACCTGGCTCCCTGTTGGTCCCTAGAAGGCTTCTGATTCCTACAGAAAGCAGATGGAGAAACTGCTTGCTTAGAAACAACAAGATGCATGTCCATTTTTCTCTCATACGGAGCATGCTGCTGCCTTGCTCTAGGAATGGCTCTCAATCCCCAGCACCCGGCCCAGGAGACTGCAGCAGGAGTCTCACGGAAGAGGACAGAGGATCCGGTGACAGAGGAAAGGACGAATGACCTTCAAGTTGTACTTTACTTGCCATCACAGTGAACCATTCTTGTTCAGCGCTGAAGTTTTAACTGCACGGCCCAAGTCAAATGAAACTGAAAACACAGAAGCTTAAAGCTTTGCTATGGGCAGTTATCTTAAAATTTTGGGGTGGATTTCCTTTTTTTTTCTGGTGTATGCATAGTGCAATACTCCTGAGGCTTTTTCCCCCATCAGGAATTGGAGCATGCACCATTTCAAACACACCACGGGGTCAAGTTTTGGTCCTGTCAGAATAATCAGTGGTGTGAAAAGTGCTGTGCATTCTACTTGCTGGCCTTATACCCTGGGGTGTCTAGAAATTGCAGCAGGTTGAACTTTAGCCTCCAAAACACCAGCTGCAATGCTACCTGCGATATGGCTGAGGCCCTGGTAAAGAAAACAATATCAGAGCCCTGCGAGGCTAAATAAATTCACAGCTTGCTGCCCATGAAGTGTGCTCTCAATAGATGTCTCCATACAGGTCCACCAAACTCCACCTGGGCTCTGTCCGCACCACTCCACCCGCCTACCAAATGATTGCTTTTTAAATCAACTTTCTCCATGCCTGGAGAAGAGGATCGGTCTGGGCACAAATCAGAATACTGAAGCAGGCAGCTGTACACCACATGTTCCAGCATTAAGATTCCTCCTCCTCCTTCCCCATGCAAACGCAGGTCCCTCAGCCCTTTCCCGTGCCTCCCAGCTGAATTTGAATTTGCTTCTGTTTTCCTCTCTCTTTTTCAGGAGAGTTCCCCTATGAATATGATGGCAATGCATGCAAAGCGCCACTGGTTATATCAAGCTGTGATTGAGTGCCAGCACAGGGCAAAGCTTTTGAAATCAGGCAGCACAGCAGAATCAGCAGAGGTCGGCTGAATAACCCACTTGTAGTTATTAACAGCAGTACCGCAGGAGCAACAGCAATTCTACTGGCTGTGACTAGTGGCATTCCTCTTATGTTCCTCATTTCTGCGGAAGAACCCAAATAGAGGGCTGCAAAACATGCCTTGAACCATCTATTTTGATTGGTCCCCTCCTCCCCCCTTCCCTCTGGTCCCTTGCAATTCGGCCAAACTGAACCTGGTCCTGAAGTCTCATTTGCATAAAATTATCATTGTTCCATTCAGTTTCCTGCCTCTTCAATAGCCCCGTCTTTGCTCTGTTGGAAGATTCTGCCTTTCCAAAGCAGACAAGCCAAGGGAGCTGCAACACATGACTGCTGCCTGCTGTCTAATTAACATTAAGCCCACAGCATGAAACTACAGGGATTTACAGGTGTCCTGGAATCATTTTCCCCTCTTCCCTCCTGATACCAGCTAGTCTCCCACAACAAGGAGGGGACTTCAGGCAATTTAATGATACACTAAGAGTTCTGCACTTGTGTAACCAGACTGCCAAAAAAAACCCTGCAACTGCTTCAACACCAGGAGTCAAATGTCTCCTACAAGAAGTCATTTCAGCAGCTTCAGCTTGCAGAAAGGCTTCCATTTTTTTGCCAGATGTTGATGTCTTACAAGCAGGTCACCATAAACATATGAAGCAAACACGTTAAAAAGGATGCAGGAAAGGGCCTCACAGACAGCACTCTAGGAGAACCTGGACTCCGGCATTTCCAGGCAGACAGCCCCATTGTGAAAAG